CCCCCCCCCCCCCCCCCCCCCCCCCCCCCCCCCCCCCCCCCCCCCCCCCCCCCCCCCCCCCCCCCCCCCCCCCCCACTTCATTCGAATTATAAAACACACGACCTCGACAACAAGTTGTTAGATCAGGTACGCCAGTCGCTCGACGCGTTGGAAGACAAGTCGGTTGCGCCACCGTCAACGAGAACCCCTCGAAAGGATTCGGCCCGAGCTGAAGACCGCGAAGCCATTCGTCAGCATTTTCAGGACGCCATAGCGCTCTTTAATGCAGAGCCTTTCACCGAAGAAGCCTCGCGCATCTCACCCGAGGCAGCGTCAGAATTCGAAGCGAACGCCTCAAGACTGGACTACTCGGCCGACAACTGGCCTTTGTCGATTCGTTCCCTGAAAAACGTTACCAAGTCGATGTTTTTTATCAACGATACGGGTGTCACTTTTGATGGTCAAACCACGACCCATTCTCTTGACAGCTCAATTGTTTATTGGTTAGCTCATCGACACTGGTTGGTTCGGCCAAGTCAACAAAGCCCATAGTCAGGGACAGAAGCTCTCAAAGCTCAAATAAAGGTTGCAAGGTACTCTTTCTTCATTGTCCATTCTCGTTTGTTCCTGTTGAGCGCTAGCCAAGCTTTGAATTGTGGTTCATTGCCGAGGCTAGAGGCTACCATTGTGTCTTGCCCCAATCTAAATTCTGTTATCTCATTCTTTGGACAATATCTTTCAAAGGTCTGAAGGTCAGAGTAACAGCGATCTCTTCTCTGACTTGCTTTCACCGGAATATATTCTCATAGCCTTACACAAGAATTCAATGCGGATCTTCCCGCCTTTCGCCGAACAATGGACAACAATTATTAGCTATATTGTGAACGTGATCTTGTGGATGTCATTTGGCACCGGCAGGTGGTTTAGCTGGTCTGATGAGTTTATTTGCGATGTTCATTTATGTTTGAATTTATGCGACGGAAGGACAGACTACCGGCACCTGTAGTTTTGGATGTAAAAGTAGCTTGCAGTTGTGTCGTATTCCGTTCGTCTCCTTGCCACTCGCGCGAAGCCTGCGGGCACTGGCATGCAAATTTGACGTCGTGTGCTTGTAGCGTTTCGGCAGACAGAACCGGTATCTACTGAGCATGAGGCCCTTACTAAGCGTAAAGCCGGACTGAGGCAGACTCGTGACGCCAGCGAAACCCAAAAAAAGAAAAAATTGAATGTGGCGGGAATCGAACCCACGTCTAGTGCTCTCGACTTCTGTTACGAAATTGGAAGGCACTCATACTAACCTCTATACTACACATCCGACATTTTTGTGATGGAGAGGTCTCGTTCCATACTCAATCCTAATCACAAAGTCACGTGACCTCCAAAAGTCACGTGATTTAATGTGGCTGCTGTAATTCAGGGATTAGATACAAAAAAACCTCCACAATTTTGATACAAAAAAAAAAAAAAAAACTTGGCTCGCTAGTGTCGACACTTTTCTTTTGGTTGGATTGGTCACTTCGGTTGCTCAAGAGGAAATGTTCAACAGAGTTGACAAGAGTTGCTTGTCTAGATAGTGGCAATGCAATGAAGCAACTCGTAGATAAAAAAAAAACAAGAGTTTCGTCGGGTCCGGGGAGTTTGTCAAAGTTCTCTTTTCAAAGATTTTCGTAGTTTCAACTAGTGAATTTTTGTAAAGCTTTGGGTTTGATACAAAAAAGTATGGCCGGAATTCCGGGAAGAGATTACAAAAAAAACACCTGTCAGTTTGCGAGGGAGCCAGAAACAAGAGTGATCAACAGGGTTGGCAAGCGTTTCATTCGGTACACAGTCTCTCAGGTTACAAACTTCAGTAGTTCTCCTTTAGTTTTGATTTGAAAGGCTTCGGTTTGGATGCAAAAGAAACCATCAGCTCTCCCCCGAACTTTGGCAGTGGCACCCAGCCCATGCGTGTTGCTGTCTTCGGAAATTAATGGCTGAATGGACAAAAGGAAAAGAAAGGAGAAGGGAGGAAGGGCGTGCGTCTACTGCAGTGCAGCGACCTGAACAGGGCCAAGATCACACAGACACACATACACAATATCCTCAACTCGCTTGTTGTGGAAGGCGCAATGTTACCGATGAGCCATTTGCCCTTGAATGAGATTGGGGGTTGGCAGCAGGTACATGACTCCAATGTCAATTTGCTGTAGTGCATCAGATCCGGCCAAGACTGTGCACACAGCTTCACCTTGGTCAATCATGGGCTCACTTATCTGGCGGAAGTCATCCCTACAGTCATCGGCCCAATATCCCCGATTCTTTTCGTAGAGGTTGATCCAATGGCGACGCCATCAACCCTTTCCCCCTCTTTGCCGGCATTCAACATCCTCAAGCTTCCTAAGTAATGAGGTGGCAGACTTTTATTCGATCAATCAATCGAGATGCTTTCCTCTGACTGCTAGTCCCGCATTGTTGGTTACACGCCGACCTTCGACGGTGCGTAAAGCATTTTGTTTTACATCCTCTCTTCTAGTTGTTTGGTTGCTTGTCTGGAAAGTGGCACTGCAGCGAAACGAGTTGGAGATAAAGTAAATGGCTCGGTGCCACATCGACAGCTCTCCGAGGCGAACCCGTGCATACGGCGATCAGCACTCCAGTAGATGGCTCCGCACTCCTGAAGCCGAGTAGAGTGGCGGCGACCGTATCTGGCTGACGTGTTCCCACACGTTGACAAGACTTCCGAGAGAGTATTTCGCAGTCTTCGTATAAGACGTGGCGTCGCGACTTTCGCCAGTCAGGTACTGCCAAACTCGTAACCTAATCAACACCGCTTGTGTCATCTGGTGCCGTGCCTCACTTTGTCTACTCGATCCAAGACAAAGATCCGCCGAGAATCAGGGAGTGAATTGAGAGTAGGACCCAGGAACGTGTGTCGAGATTGCACAATTAGCGCGTATCGAAACAGAAAAGAAAACAATGAACTACGCCTCGACCTCTCCCAACGAGCCAAACAGACCACCATCAATGACCCTATCCTCATGTGCTACATGATCGAGCACTCCCATGTCAACCAGTCTGTGCACGATCCTCTCTGCACCGTGCCTCGTGCCAGACAGGTTGAGCGCGTCAGGCCCAAGCTCTAGCATCGCGTACGCTCCCATGACAAACACCGGCACGTCGTCGTTCAGTTGTAAGTCCGTCGTCAATCGCGGTAACCCATTGACCGTGTCGGCGCCGAGCGACTTGGCGCAGTCCATGGCATCAAAGTCGAGCTTACTGCCGGTCGAGCATACGACATAATCGGCAACGATGGCGTCGTTGCCGAACTGCAGCTGCCAACGGCCATCGACGTACTTGGCATCTTGCACAGTCGTGTGCAGCCTCAGATCCAAACGACCAGCGCGCACATGTTTTTTCAGCAGCGTGGCAAACTGCGGATTGACGGAACCACCATTGCGAGCAGTTTGAATCATGGCATGTCTGGCCACGAGGCACTCTTCCTGCCAGAACGCCGCCTTGCTCAAATTGTTGTACTTGGACACCCACTCGAGATCCATGTCAAAGTGCTTGATCTTGAGCGGCCCACGACAGACAAGGACGACCTTGGAGACGCCTTTGCTTAGCGCTTGATCTGCAATCTGTGCCGAGGTGAGACTGAACGCAATCAATCAATATCGGAACCGGCTGAATGTAGCCCTGACTGACCCTCCACCGATGACAACCATCGTCGTCTCTTGGCCACGGCCAATCTTGTCAGTCAACAGCTCCGGCAGAAACTCGAATCCCGGTTGCAAAAACGCCGACGAGTGGCACCACGCATGACCGAATTTCACACCGTTCCTCTGCTCAGACACGGTCAACGAACGTTCGATGGCCTCTGGCAGTTTCGGCGAGCTGGAGGGTCCGACGGCGAGCACGACCGACTTCGATCCGTACTGCCTGACCGTTCCATCTGGCATGCGGACGACCACTAGGAACCCATCAACCAGGTCTTGTCCTTGCACGTGCAACACTGCTCGACTGATAGAGGTGACTTGACCCTGCGTGACCAAACCATCGAGGTTGTACCGACGAATCAACTCGTCTCGTACAAAGTCGTGAAACAGTCGTGTCGAAGGTCGATAGTAGTCTTGTCGTTCTCGTTCGTTGATCGAGTGGGTCTTGCCGGCGCGAGAGGCTCTGCAGGTTGGCCTTGTCAGACAAGAATCGACACATTGGTCGACAAGAGCTTACCTCTTTTTGCGCTCGTGTCTGCTCTTTTCTTTGCCTACGACATTGTCAATCGGCATCAACTCGTCCTCCTGCCAGCGAGGTCGGTCAGCATTTGCAACGTCGAGGGGATCAACACGCTAACTGGCTCACCCTGCCCGTCCTTCTCGCATACGCCACCAAAGCATCAGTATCTGCCGGGGACGGATGAAATAACATTGGACTCCTCAGATGTTCAATCTCCAGTGCGTTAAAGTATTGATCCCACCTAGCCATGAAACCGTCTCCCGACTCGTCAACGACTCTGACGACTTTTTTCAAATCCTGCTCAACACACGGACTCGAGTTGGCTGACGACACGAGCTTACGTCGAGACCAATGACCTTTGACTGTCGGTTTGTTCTTTGTCAAAGTGCGACTGGGTCTCCTCGCGTGCAACCAAGACAGCCTTGCATGCTCGAGGTCGGTGTACAGCAACGCGGGAAAAGAATCTGCCAATCTCGCACATAACGCCAGCGAGTGAGGTCCTGCTCCGACAACAAACACTGGCGTAAAGTCGTCGGGCTTGATCGTCACTGGTGTCGATGTCGACTTGGCCCCGGGTTGACAGCAGGCGGATGCGCAAGACGACGCGGTCGACTCGGTGTCAGATCCATCGCAAGTCGTGCAATCTGAAATGGCGTCATCGTCGCCTCCATCGTTGAGCTCGAGCGAGGACAATTCTAGATCTGGCAAGAAAGCAGATGGCCGAAGAATCGGCGGTCGAGGTGGGTTGTTGAGAGGCGTAAAGGTGCTGTCGGGCACTTCCTTGAGCATAATTTGAAATGTGCGAGCAAGAGTCGAGCAAGGATTAGTCGTGTGCCCTGTGCCGGGCAACCCCCTCGGCCTGAGTACTGTCCAGGTCACGACCCTTTGGAGAGACGCTGATTAGATCTCGAGAGTCAGCAGTCGAGGTTCAGCTTCAAAGTAGCACACATGGATGCAAAGGCAAATGGGCGCGGCAATTTGCATGTCTGTCGCGTTTGACGCTTTCAGAGTGAACCCTGGGGTATCAAATCTGCAGTGCAAACGAAAACGACTAAAAGACAGACGACACTGGCGAGGCAAGCGTCTGTTAATCGTGTCATCCATCATCCGCTACATGTGACGGATACGCACACGACAACCGACCAACGACCAAACGCTCTCGACGTGCAGGATCGCTAGACGTTGTAGCGAGCCATCTCGCATCCTTTCGTTTCGAACCTGCAAACATTGTGCTGTCAGACACTTGATCAAGGGTGAACAAACGTAACCGAGTGGATACTTACCCGCACTTGACGTAGAACGCTGCAAATCAGCAGAGGTAGGTCGTTCAGCAAAAGTTTTAGCTCCGGAATCCCTAGCGCTGCCCACACCTTCATTCTTTGGGTCGCAATCGAGAATTGTCTGCATTGAAATAATATTTGATCAGTGAATGTATGGCGGGATATGTATCACGAGCGCACGTGCCTTGTAAGCGCCCAGGTGCTGGCTGATCGCGACGAGTGCGTCAATGATCCTCTTGCCAAGGCCCTTGCCCTGCATCGTTGGAGACACTGCAATGTCTTCAATATGTCCGACGGTGCCACCGCCTCGAATAAACTTGCGTTCGTGCACGAGCGTGCCTGTCGCGACCAGCTTGTCCGTCGCACTGTCGACCAACACGATCCCGTAATACGTCCCTCTCGTCGATGCCATTTCCTGAAAGCGCATCTGCCATGCTTGTTGACCAATATCGGGCGCCCGGGTCAACGTCGACAGCAAGTCCAAATGACCGCGTTCGTAATCGTCAAGCTGTAGCGGACGCAACACAAGTCCTGAAGGCAGTTCGCCCCTCGCTTGTTCGGGAATCACACTGCTGTCAAACAGAGGCGTGACTGCCGGCATTCGGATCGCCTGTCGAGCGCTGAGCGTCGAGTTCGGTGATCAAGGAGTGAGGCCTGAGCGCAAACGAAACGCCAAGGCCAGCGCATTGCCAGCGGACGGGAGCGCACCGAGATTATCAATGAATGGAAGACTGTGTACCAAGCATTGACGTCGGAAATGTTCATTCTACTTCTTCAACAAGAACAGCTTGGACCGCAACGGCAGACAGACACCAGGTCC